CCAGAAATCTTTCACTCCGGTCTTATAAATATATTAATTTGGTATATTTTTCTGAGCTTTGAATTCTGAAAAAGGTGGCCTCTTAGTTCAGTGACAGAAGAGCTGTCCCATATAATAACAATCCCGGGATAATTTCCTAGCAGGTCTGGCATTGAGAAGCACCTTGAAGGCTGAAGTTTAGGAAAGAATGCCATGAAGAACTGGAGTGAATCCAGGTAGAATAAACTTGGCCAAAAGAGCAATTGGCCCAAATAGAAAATACTTGCTTATGCTGTAGATTGAAGATGTTCCTTCTTTCTCTGATACTGGCCTTGCTCAGCAATTTAGTTTCTATCCTCAGTTCCCATTACTGTTTAAGCTATTTGTGCCAGAAGGTGCATATGTTTTCCCAGTTTCTACTTCTGAATCATTACAAGCAAGCTGATTATTTTATCTCAACTGAACCACAGAAATTATGCTTTGGAGGCTAACTTCTTCAGGGTCCAAGGATTCTAATGATACAGTTTTAGCCCTTTGCTCTAGAGGTTAGGACACAAAATATGCCAAATATCCCATAACCCATTCCCATAAATAGCCTATAGAGAACGCCAGAGAATCAAGAGACAGAAAAACAAACAGTAACCTCATTAAACTGCTTTGTAGGCAAGCTCAGTGCAAATGAAGCTGTACTTTATCAGCGTCCGTGCTCATTCTTCTACATTAGCTATATACTACTAGCATGTGCAGAATTGCATGCACAGGCTAATAACTTTCATTATTAAATATGACCAGGCTAATTTTGTAGTTTATAGTAATTCCAAGTAATATTACTGGCACTGTTCCTGAGGTATAAAGTTGCTTTACAGTCCTGGAGGATGAGCCCCTTTACAAAGTCATCAGAAAATGTTCAGCAAAGTTGTTGATCATTCTGGACAAAAACAACTATGCTAGGAAATCATGCTTTGGAGCTAAAAAGTTAACGAAGCAGCTTAAAACAAAAAAAATTGACACCAAGCAAGAGGAAAGACACACCGTGAGGTTTTAGAATAGAATGTGCTATAGTAGAATTGTGTCCCCATTATCAAGGCTAAAGGTACATAGCGTAATGGCGATGTAACAGAATTTCAAACTGTATTATAAATAAAAAATAATGAGGACCACCTGATGGTTGAAGAACAGGATATTAATCTATCCATCACAAATATACAAATATACATATAGATACATACTTTCAGTGGCATCGTTGTCATTGGGAAGAAATTCATCTGACTGTTAACAGAAAACATGGGTGGGATATTTGTGACCATTCATTTCCAATATTATTTCTCACAATTTGTGTTGATGGAGTTACCTTCAACAAACTTTGGAAGGCTACTAGTTTCCAAATCCTGGCTTATTACCCTTCCTGATGAATCCTAATCAGAATAATAGGAGGAAGAAAGGCTGATTGACTGACCCATGGAGAGAAGGGGCCTTTCTCCTGATATCTCAGAATTAGCCAGGAATGTGTATCCCAGCACCAGTTCTTGAAAAAACCCACAACTCCTAGTCTATAAGAATGGAAGTACTATTGAGTCATCAAGCCTGAACTAAGCTTGTATAAAATCTTCTGTAATTTATGCATGGACAGCTTTGGGCAAAAGGCAATCAAATATTGGATAGAATGCTGGCTATAACTTTTCCTTGTCTTTAAAAAGGAAGGTGTATGCAGTATGTGCCCAAACTTTCTTACTTGGATTTTAGGAGCTCAGATTATTGCTTGAGTATTCCTACCCAAGTAGGTTGTTCTAATTGTATGGTATTGCCTATATTTTTGAGGCATGGACTTGATGTTGGCTTCTTCCTTGATGCTTTCCTGCCATTTTGAGCACCTCTTGTAGTCCTACTCTTGTGTTGTGAGTTCCTTGATTAGAACTCCATAGTATAAAGAGCCACTCTTGTAGGACAGATACACTAATACAACATCCAAGAACAGAACTACTGAATCTAATGCAGATTGCTATGGTTATGGTTGGCTTGAAACATGAGCACCTCATAGAAACTAAAGGATGACATAGCTGGATACTCACATGACAGACTAATTTCTAGCAGTAATTACCCTGGATACCAGAGTGGCGTCACTACAAAGGTGTTAGGGCCAAGGAGACCCAGGGTATAAGTCTAGCAATAAATACATAAATGAAATTATATAAATTCAGCTTGTCTATGGAATAAACATAATTGAGTTGAAAGAATCCAAAACTGATTTAACAGTACTCTACATATAATTGACTAAACATGTTGACTAAAGGATTAAAAAGGTTCTGCAATTTAGAAGAAGTAGCTCTCATTTTAGGACATAGAAATATAATCTTATTTTTTTTAAAAAATAAATCTTTAACTTTTACAATTGCATCCCATCTTTCTCCCGCAGGAAATTCCAGTTTGGACACAAAGGATCTCCCTTTATTTTATCTTTGATAAATGACTCTTTGATGGTAGAGGGAGAGGTAATGCCTGGCCCAAAATCATTCAGTGAGATTGGTGATTAAGGAACTGCTTGAATCTTGGAGTTTTCTGATCTGAGTTTATGACTTTAACCATCATATCACATGCTTTGGAGCACTAGGTCAAAATTCAGAACATGCGGCTTTAGAGTTAAATTTACTCTTAAATACTCAATGTGATTTAGTGAATTCAGAAGCACTATGTCTGCAAAGAAACTAGAGAAGTTAGTAGAGGAGAAGCTAAATATGAATCAGTGATGATGTTTGGAATACCAAATAAATAAATGTGGCAATGCAATTTTCATTTCCGCTCTAGAAATGCAGTGCGTTCTTTAGATTAGGAGAATGAGGGCTCCAATTTTGTTCTGCTTTAATCCTGGTTGCACTAGAACAGCGGTTCTCAACCTTTTTATACGGCGACCCCCGGTCACATGGATGCGGTGCGCATGCGCTGCGGCGCCTCCTGAGGGGGAAAAATGGTGGATCGCGTTGTTTGGCGACCCCCGTAAAATGGTCGTTCGACCCCAAATGGGGTCGCGACCCATAGGTTGAGAACCGCTGCACTAGAATTTGTTTGTCCAATTTTAGGCCATACACTTGAAAAGGATTATTGACATACTGAAATATGTTTGAAGAAAGGCTATAAAAATAATGTAAAGACCAAATTCTATGAAAGTAGGGGAAGACCTTAGATGCAGAGGAAGAGGAGGAGGAGCCCAATTTTTAAAATTAAGGATAATCACATATTCTAATGTTTCTGAAGGTAGGATTTGAATTAAATGTTTCAAATTACACATACACATTCTTCAATGAATGAAAGTACAAACTGGAATGGAACATATACTGCCTTAGAAAATTTTGGGTTTTTTTTGCTATCTATAAAATGTTTAAAATTTAGAGATAATTCTGTAATATCATAATTATACATGTAGTTTTATAGTTTTACAGCAACCTTACAAATCTCTGTTTTGCATAAGACTTGATTGTCAATATATTTACGACATTATCCTTAGTACATTCTCACATTCCCTCTTTGCATGAATACGTACATTACAGTTTGTTATATCATCCAAATCTTATTTATCTTTATAATGGAAGCAAATCCCATTGAGTTAAATAAGGATTATTCCAAACTAAATAATCAGGTTTGTAATCTTAATCTTCCCAGTTCTTCAGTTCTTTGCATTGGAGAAGAAGGAAACGCTTTTCAAACTTTGAACTGACTTTTTAATTCTAAGAAAATAATGTAAATTGGGCTTAATGAAGAGAGAAAAGAAAGTTTTCACAGGTTATAATAGGCTACTAACTTGTATAATATTGCCTTTTCTCAAAAACTAGGTATCAAATCACTGATCTCTGGTGACTGATCCTAGATTCTAAATATAATGTAGGAACAGAAATGTTTCCTTTTTAACAGATATTTGAAGTTGCTCAGCTTCTGTTGCTTAAGACTTGTGCAGTGCCTTGAATATGTAGAAGTAATGTTGAAAATGTGAATTCTGGCTTCTATTATTAACAGTGATTAATAGCCAAGCATCTCAAATATAACATTTCAGTTTTGTTGTACACCGCCCAGAGCCACTTGCCTGTAAGATGTGGCTATATAAATTAAATAAATAAATAAATAAAATAATTTGTTTCATTGTATGTGGTTCATACACAAACCAAGGAATTAATACTTCTCCCTCCCCCCCTCCCTCCCTCCCTCCCTCCCTCCCTCTCTCTCTGCTAGAATGTAGCTCTCTTTCCTTTATCAGTACATTACATGATCTCAGAAACACGGAACAAGGGAAACAAAGGCAGCTTGAGATGTTTAATCTATTTTGCAATCATCCACTATGTTTGCACAACAAAAGAAAAGTAAAATAGGGTTTGTTTCATTTATTTGGATTGGGTGGCTCTCCACCTGAATTCTCTGAGAACAAGCAAAGTCTCTGATTTCAGAGTTAAATAGGGTTGAACACACACATACACACACACATACATACACACAGAAACAGGCAAACATGCACATATATTTTTCTTAGATCGTGGAAACAGTCTGAGCACAAAGGCTGCTTTAGATCTCCAGCAACTTCACCTGGCAGAGCAAAGACTACCTTTGTATCTCAGAGGGGGGAAAACAACCCTAGTCCAAGTAAAAATTCAGCATCGCAAGCAATAACACAGAAAGAGCAGCTTTAACCGAAAGGATGTATGTTTGTGTGTGTGTGTGTGTGGGGGGGGGGAATCGATGAGAGAATGTGGGACTCGTTTCTGTCCCGCTGCAGCACCTGAACTGGCTGCCTGGGAAGCGTTACGCTGTCCATGGTACTGAATTTCTAAATCAGCTTTTGTAAAGTAAAGGCAACTCGCCCGAACTCTTGCACAGGAACCGCCCTCCTCCCGGCATTCTTGCTGAAGATCTTAAATATTTATCGCGGGTCCGGGAGCGCGGGTCCTCTCCCTGCCGCCACTTCCCCGCGCACATTCACAGAGGCAAGACCCCAGGTCTCTTTCCCTCTTCCCACTCCGATCCTCCGCCACCCTTTTTACCTGACTCTTTCGAGGAAACTCATTGAGTACGATGCTGATCACTGGAATGTGCAAAGCGGTGGCGACGAAGTCCATCTGTAAGATCTCGCTTCTGCTCTGCGGAAAGGCAAGAATGGCCGAGACCCCTTGTACCACCACAGTGTGGCAGATGCTCTGCAAGAAGGAGACCGGGTCGTTGCTCCAGGAGGAGGCGCTGGGCGAAGAAAAGGGGAAAAGAGGTAGATCACCCAGGCCCGCCTCGATAGCCATCACCACTTCCAGAGAAAGGTTGTAGGGCAGAAGCCCCTTGACGCGGTTGAGGTTCTCCACCGCCAACAGGAGCGCCTCCCTCGGTATTAGAGGCGCTTGTGGCGCCTGGTCCGGACTCTCTTTGTCGATCAGATTCTCGGTGCCCAGGTGCGCTCTCCTTCTCACACTGGTCCCACTTTTCCACCTCTCTGAAGTCCCGGGGTCCTGCCACCCAGATTCTTCCCCGGCAGAGTCGCTTCGAAGCGGGATGTCATTGTGAGCTCTCCAGCCTCCTGCCCCGCCTTGGGAGGTAGCCCAAGGTTGCAGGTGCGCCGCCCCGATCCTTACCGTATGCCCGATCCGTTTCAGGATCCGGCAAGGCTGCGGGTGGCAAGAAGAGAGGGGCACCCCGGCCAACACGAGGGCGCAGGGCGGCGGGAACAGCAGACAGACTCTGCTCAGGAGCCACCAAACACTCAGTCTCCACATCACTGGAGAGCCAAATGCCCGGCACGTTAGGAGAAACCCCCCTCCTCCCTCTCTGCCTTCCCACCTCAGCCACCTCCCCCTCCACCGATGCTAGGCGCTTCTCTCCCAGCCGCTCTCCCACCGCCAGCCATACAAGTTGCGGGATTATTCAGGCGCCTCGGAGGCTCCCAAAACCTACACAACCGATTTCCTCCCCCTGCTCCAGGAAGTCCCCCCAGACTTCTCCCAGTGGTCGCCTCCCCAGATTGGGCTCTAAGGATTAAGAGCCATTCCATTCTACCCCTGGAGGGTCGTCGCAACCCTTCGGGACAATCTGCTGGATCTCCATGGCTCGAATCCACCGACTCGGAGATCCAGATTTCCAGACGCCTCTGAGGACAGCAAGAGGCAGGAACCCACCCTCCAGCGATGCCTCATCTCCCTTGGGCCACTTCCCCTGTCTTCTCGCCGCTTCTTTTCCCCCCACTCCGTCCTTGGCCTCTTTTCCAGTCCTCTGTCTTCCCTTTGCAGTTTGTTTCGAAAGCTCTCGTCAAAGGGAAACCCAAAGTTGCTAAGCAGGAGGGTAAGCAAGTAGCGGGGACGGTTCTTCCTCGTCCGAAGGAGCTTCAGTCGATCGCTTGGCTAGCTAAACACCCACTGCCTGCCTGCCAAGGCGGCTTTGGAAAGGCGAACAGGTAGCGCTCTGAGCGGGACAAAGGCCCCGCGAGGAACGCTGGGAGTTGTAGTCATTCTAGCCGGACTGTTAGAAGCCTCCTGGCGCCGGGGCTTTTTCCAAATGTTTTGCTGAAATTCATGTTTAGTGTGTTAGTGGAGACATGTTTTAAGAGGTCTTTCCCCACTGGCAACTGTCTAGTGTCTGAAGAGGAAAGAGGACGCAGTTAAGAAATTCTACTCTCAAATTCTCCTCCTCCCCCCTTTTAAGGATAGAGCAAAAATACATCCCCAAACATTTTATGTATTGCTCCAAACATACATCCTCCAACAGGGAAGGCATGTCCCTTTCCCCCTGATTCATTTTCTTTTCACAACCGCATGATGAGAAGAAGACATTCAACAAGACCAGTCAAAGTGATCCATCTGCTCTTTTGTTTTTTAAGCGCTTCGTCAAGGCATGGGGAAGGGAAGGATGATGGGGGCAGAAGTGGGGAGGGTCAACACCAACAACTGGGAGAAGAACATGACCCTCTCTGAAGCACCTTCCGATTCATCAGCCAAGGAGGTGTCTATCTCCTTCAGGCTCCATGAGGTCAGGTAAATCTCCATAAATAGAGCAGAGTAGCAAGAACCTGCCAATATTTGACATTCTCCCACCAACTGCAGCATCAAAGAAAACCATGATGCTGAAGATAGGACATTGTTCATAATTCCCATCGGAGGCTTTGCAAGTCTGACTGAGCTATCCCTTTGAAATGATGGAGTCCACTGAAACTAGTCAAACAAAAGGGATTTCTCCACTGACATGGAACTGAAGGGTTATTATGGCAGAACCACAGATATGGAGCCATCTATATCCAATCTGCCATTCCTTTCTTGTTGGAACACTGAGCCAAAAGCATTCTGTACTGCAGGAAGATGTTAATATTAGTCTCCTGTAAGTTAACAACAACACAGCAAACAGAACAAGAAGGCAAAGTATTTCACAGAATAATGTTTGCTACGAAAATTTGGGAGTGAGTCATGCATCTATAGCAAAGAGTTTGGAAAACAATCAAAAAGTGTACTTTTGAACCTCTATTTCCTTATTCCATAAATTAATCATTGGCATAGAAAGGAAAATTAATGTCAGGCTCACATTTGTTATGTTCTCTACTTTTTAAATGCTTCCATATGTTGAGGGATGAAGAAAAAGGCCATAAAATGAATAAATTACAGTTTTAGACAAGGACTAAGGAAGCTCATGTTGACATTCCAACTAAACTATGTAGTTCATTGATTATCTTGCCTCAACTCTCTTTCCCTATCCTACTTGCATAGTTTTTTCATGAGGAAAATGATGGGAGGATAGCCAACTAGCTGCTGGAATTGAGGTAAATATAAATACCAACAGATCCAATACATTGAACTGATCTCTCTTAGTCCCAGGTATCTTGAATTAATTAGCAATAATTTATTTTTTTACAGGTGTGTGTGTGTGTGTGTGTGTGTGTGTGTGTGTGTGTGTGTATGTTTACTGGATTTAAGCACTGACTATCCCAAACCTGAAATCTGAAGGCCCATTTAACCATGATTTTATTCAATTCTAGGCATAGATCTGGTCTCTTGCCCTAAGGCAGGGGCTCCCAACCGGAGATGCTCGCACCCCCTGGGGGTGCGAGACAATATTCCCGTGTGTGTGTGTGTGTGTGTGTGCGCGCACGCAAAAACTTGGGTTTTCAAAATTATAGCATATATGCATAATTCGTTGCCGTTATTTCAAACTTTTGTAAGGGGTGCAAGAATATAGCAGAAGCATTCTAGGGGTGCGGGGTATAGAAAAGATTGGGAGCTGTTGCCCTAAGGCAGTGTTTCCCAAACTTGACAATTTTAAGGCATGAGGACTTCAACTCCCAGAATTCCACAGCCAGCAACGCTGGCTGTGGAATTCTGGGAGTTGAAGTCCACATGCCTTAAAATTGTCAAGTTTGGGAAACACTGCCCTAAGGTATCAGCTTTTGAACCATTTCTTTACCAGCTTTACCATTTTTGTATGATAATAGCTGGGGATAATGTTTACTTTGTTGGTTTTCTTTTGCTCCAACTGTAATAAAAGAAGCCACAAAAGAACTACAGTCATCTTAGTTTCTTTTTGCCATATTAGATGGACTTCCTCTGTCTTCCTGATCGGTGGACACTTGTCATTTGTTCTACAAATGCAAATAAAGATTATTTGTAGGTTTTAAAAGAGCTATGTGCTGCAGGGTAATATAAACCCCACAGATGCAGAAGGAAATGAAAACAAACCAAGGAAGGAGCATACATTTTCATGTTAGACATGCTTCTATAGATAGATCGATCTGGTGTAATACTTAGTACATTTAGCCATAGTCATGTGTTAAATTAACATATGCCTTTCCTAAGATGAGGCCAATTTGGAATTCTGGTGGATTTTCACTCATAATTGAAGCATCTATTAAAAATACTTCTAGACACAGTTATGGAGATAACAGCTCCACATGGAGAAATGCCCTCTAGGACTAAAACATGCATAATTTAGCATACAGGATATACTTTTTAAAAAATTATGCAAATAAACCTGTTTCATCGGCTTAGCGAACAGCAAAAGAGAAAGAAGATTTTTTTCATTACTTGTTCTGGAAGATCAGCAGCTGTTTGTTCTCCCAGTATTCATATTTCTGAGAAACAATATTATTCTATTACTTTGGTTAAGATTCAGCTGTTTCTAATCTTCTCTTAGCTGCCATCTAGCGGTGGCCATTTCTAACAAGGTGCAGAACGTAAGGACAACGGAGACACATGAAGCTCTTCCATGTTAATTATCCCTTGCTACATTATTAGCCATTTTGCTGTCTGATCTTTTCTCATTCCAGTTGATCCCAAAGCTCCCCCCACGTTGTGCTTCTCTAGTCCCTTTTCCTTATGTGTTCTCCTTTTTTTTAAGTTCTAAGAAAAAAGTGTAGAGACTTTGAAATTATTTATTAATAGTTAGCACCTGGACCACACATTAGATACCAGTAGAAACACCTGTTATCTGTTTGCAGTCTTCCCTATTATCCTGGAACCAAGAGGAAAGGTAATGAATTTGGTTCTTCTCTGGTGATACTAGCCTTTCAGGGGAGAAATTGCAAATAGCTGTAAAATTAGGGTAGCTTTATGCAACAAATTGATTTATCCTAATTGTTCTAATATTTATAATCCACTCATTAAAAAGCTGCAAAAATGGCTTAAAGTACAATTAAACAATATTGATAGATTATGTGCCATCAAGCTGGTATTGATTCTTAGCAACCCCATAGATCTTTTTTTCCAGCATATCCATCTCTAGTCTTCTCTTTTAGATCATCCAATGGTGTTCCAATCACTGCTATAATGTAGTCAGTTCACCATGATGCTGGTTGTCCTCTACTTCTCTTTCCTTCACCTTTTGTATCATTAGAGCAGGGGTCTTCAAACTTGGCCCTTTTATGACTTGTGGACTTCAACTCCCAGAATTCCTCAGCCAGACACACTGGCTAAGGAATTCTGGGAGTTGAAGTCCACAAGTCATAAAAGGGCCAAGTTTGAAGACCCCTGAATTAGAGCCTTCTCCAGAGAGCCGGCTTTTCACATAATGTGTATGAAATAGGATAATTTAAACCTGGTCATTTGGGCCTCTGGTGAGAATTCTGGGACATCCGATCCATTTGTTTGTTTTCTTGGCTGTCTGTGATATTCATAGGAGTATTTTTTAATACCAGGGTTCAAAAGCGTCAAAGCTCTTGCTATCCTGCTTCTTCACAGTCCAACTTTCTCTTCCAATGAGTGTTACAGAGAATACCATTGCTGGCCTGATTATGATGGATTGGGTCAACTCACCGAGCCAACTCGCCGTGGCCAATTCGTGGCAGGACAACTCACCATGGCCAACTTGCCACAGGACAACTTGCTGCGGGACAATTCAACAATTCAGTTCAGTTATTTAAAATAGTTCAAAAATTATTTTAATTTTTGTCATTCACATTTCATGTCGTCCCTCCTTTGGCATCCTTTTTTTATGATTCTGTTCCACTATTTCTTCGATATTAGCATAACTCTTGTCCCGCAGCGAGTTGTCCCGTGGCAAATTGGCCATGGTGAGTTGGCCATGATAAGTTGTTGTAGACCCTGATCATGATCTAATTAAACAATATCCATATGTTTAAAAAGCGGTTGTTTTGTGCACAGCATTGAGACAGGAGCTAGTAGATGGGAAATAACTGCAGAAGAATTGATATTGCCTTCACATCCAAGTTACCGCTTATCAAGGATGGTTAGATGAAACTTTAACACAGTGTTTCTCAGCTTTGACAATTTTAAGGCATATGGACTTCAATTCCCAGAATTCCACAGCCAGCATTGCTGGCTGTGGAATTCTGGGAGTTGAAGTCCACATGCCTTAAAATTGTCAAGGTTGAGAAACACTGCAAGATTCTTCTTTAGATACTAACACCTGAACAAATAAAAAAAAATCACTTTGAGCACAACACAGATCTTTTTGTGTTCCCTTTAGTAAGTCAAACAATTGGGTGCTGATTCAAAAGCAGTAAAGGGGAATAGCTTCTCTTGATAGGCTATTCAAGAGATGGTTTTTCAAAATGTGTTCAGCAGAATCCTACGGCTCCACAGGAACTTGATGAGATTCTATGAAAGGCCAAGAGAGAAAAAGAAGGAAACGGGAAAACCAACCACAGATAGAGTTTATTATCCCCAATAAAACATTCAAGTCATTATTTTCATCATCCTCAAATTCCACCTCTGGGCATCAGTTGGGCTTCTCTGTACAAATGTCTAATAGCACATTTTAAAGTAGGAAAAAACAAGGGTGGCTTTAAAAGGGAAGAGGGAAAAAAGGAAATGCAACGTATTTGTTAGACAAAACCATGATAAAATGGGATACCTTGAGAGCTCTATTGCTACTTGTCTAGAAATAATATATGCTGG